TTTACTAATCCTCAAGAGTAAAAAGCTAGAGGCCATAAACAGGGACACTTGTTGTTCGCGAGCCAGCCTTATCAAAATGGCAAGGTCACACAGACCTGTGCACTTTCACATCACTATGGTGATGTGAGCGGGGGGGGGAAGATAGATACAGAGAAAAGACACAAGCGTTGGGGGGGCAGTATTCTGCCCACTGCCTGTCTCTGACCTCTACAGAGAACTTCCCCAACCCAGGACCGTATGAGGCGGAAGTGAGCAGTGGCATACATACAGGCAGGGGAGGCAAGAAAAGAGGAGTCACTGATGCAGAAGCCATAATTAGAATGCAGTCAAACCAATTAGGACCTGTGACGAGGTCCAGGAGCCGTGTGCAAACGGCGGTTTGCCTATAAAGGAACTCTCCCATAGACCAGCATTAACCCTGATGATGTCAGAAGTCTCTGACGAAAGCTTGGTGATTGGTGATGGTATTAAACTTTTTTAATTTATTATATTCCTGGTGTTCACGTTTTTACTGGTTACTTAGAAGATGAATTTACCCAGGAATCACGCTTTTATTTTTAATGTTATTATCGATATATATATGTATGTATGTATGTATGTATGTATGTATGTATGCGTATGTGTATGTGTATGTGTAGGTCTTTGGTTATTCGAGTTTTCTCCCGCGTAAAATTGGAAGTGTCTTGGCGACGTTTCGATGAAGTCCCATTCGTCATCTTCAGGCTGGTGTTTTTGGCTTTGTGCTTCTAGGAGGGACTGCTTTATATCAAGCTGAATTCTTGATCCTTGCTCTCCCTAGTTTTTTCATCAAAAATGTCCTTTTCTGTCACCTGCTAGACGATTTTTGAACTTGGAATGTCAAGAGTGGCACCCAAGACTTTTGGCATGCAAAGCATGTATTTTAGCAAAGGGCTTTTTAAAGAACTTTCAGTTGATGCTGACTTTGACAGCTTTTTGAAGGGCTTTGAAAAACCTCTTCTTCTGATCCTTGGATCACTTCTTTTGCAACAGAGGAACAACATTCATGGATCATGACTGTAAACCCCACTTTTCCCTTTCACAAACAAAACTGATAAATGTATCAAGATGTAAGCAAGGTATGTGAGAAAGACCTTGGGAGACAGGGCAAAGAGATGCAGCCTAGGGAATGGTCAGATAAGAGACACCACAGCCTGCAAATGCATAATGGCTGAAGCAAAAAGGGACTCTCTCTGGCTGTAAAGGTCATGGTGGGAGAAATTTACTTTCAGATTTGCAAGATTCTGCAAATAAGGCTTTACAATAAAGTGGAATTAGCTTATCTGACCGTGTTTCCTGTCTGGTTTCCCTGCGAAGGCTGACACAAATTCAGCAGTATTCCCTTTAAAGATAGTTGTTGTACAAGCTTCCCTTAAGGTATTTGCTGAGAACTGTTGGTCCTGTCTCATAAATAGTGGTGCTGTGGGATCAAGTGAGGATCTCTATCAGCATTAACAAGGAAGCTAAGTTGACTTGCTAACAAAGCCAGTGTCACTATCAAGCTCAGGGCTCAAAATCCCAGCTCAGATACCTGTAAGACAGTGCCCTGGATTTTCTCCAGAGATTCCAAGTTTGTATCAGCCATGTCAGCCACCCTACTCGCGCAAGTGTATATGGAATAACACAGCAGACAAATATGTGCAGAGGCACAGAATCAGTTAGCAGCATAGCCTTGCTCTTCTCTAGCACGATTCAGGGCAGCTAATGTTCTGCAGCCATTACATGCAGCCAACAATTTCTGAACTCCCACTGACATGGCCTTCTGCGGAGGGCATTTTTGTTTAAAAGCAATTGTACCAGGGGAGGGAGCTGCTGAAGACCGAGAGAGCATCTGTTTATCATAATTAACTCAAAGAATTCTACTATTAATCACTGAACCTGCAGTTTCTAAAGCAGGGCAGAATATGGATAGCAGCGAGTCACAAATACAGTGTTTTGGGATTCAGGCAAAAAGCCCTGATGGTTTCTTTCTTTCTTTTATAATGGAAAAAATGAGATGCATTTCCCACTTGTCAACAACATGTTTTCAGCCAGAAGGATGAAGATGGATAGGTTAGCATTTTAAGAGAAAGGTTGGTTTGGAATAAACTGGGAGACAGAGATTCAAGATGGAAGAGCGATCAGGATGGGAGGGCAATGGAAAAACAGGCAGCCAGACTGAAACGAAAGATAGAATTCAAGATCAGGTGATGTAGAAAAAACATTCTTCCTTTCATCTTTCAGTTTTATAGCAAAGCAAAGGCAGGATTTGGAGAGCACACTTACCCATAGCTAATTAATTATCGTGGATTAGACAATTAACCCATTTTTCTGGGTTCACGTGACAACTGCACCCAAGGGGCTGCATTCCAAAATGCAATGGCAAAGCCAAGATAAAAATATAAGTTTAGGTTCATCAGATTTGCGCTGAATTTAATTTAATTTAAATGTATATTTAATATGATAATCCTCCAATTATGTTTCTAATCAAAATCCCCTTTCTATCATGTTCCAAATTTCAGTCTGAGAATAATATCTTTGTGGTCTGCACCAAGCTTTAAATGTCTGCATACAGTATTTGGACCTTAAAATTTACAACAGTGTAATGTAATGTATATACAGTATATACAGTAGTATATACAGTATCTTTGAACAAATAATACAGGTAATCCTCTACTTATGATCACAATTAGGTCCAGAATTTCCATTTCTAAACAAAGTGGTTGTTAAGTGAGTTACGCCTGATTTTGCAACCTTTTTGCCACAGTTATTAAGTGAAGGAGTAAAGTCCATTTAGTACAACCTATGACAATATATCCATCAACAGACATTGACCTGCAACCAGCTTACGAACACCTTACAATACAAATCAACCACATAGCCAACCAGAGACTGCACTGACTCTCAACCAACCCACGCAAACCCCCTTCCACCAATACTCCACCTCTCAATGACTCTGACCTGATGTAACCTCCCCATCACAAGACCCATCATAAGACTCTCACTGATGACTCACATCTGACCCAACACAAGACCTTCACTTGACACACCCACACCTAACCCATCACAACACCTACTGACCACACAAAGCCCTTATAAATGGAAGAATGCTGACACTGACATCTCCTAAATTCTGCTGAAGAGGTTATCTAGCCTGGTAACAAAATGTTCTGAAACCAACCCAAAAACTCAGCATATTTTTCTAAAGCTCCCTTCTTTTCTGCCCTTTGAACCAGAGGCAGCACCAGCCTTAAACATCTTCCACTTTTAAAGATGAGTACTCAGTCCCAGTCATGAATTACAGACCATGGACATCCTCAACTGCTGAGCCACATAGTCACTGGCCTTTATCAATCCACCTGCTGCCAACAACTCTGACTAATCCTTTACTCAGCTGCTGATGCAATGATCATTTGTCATCCTAACACAGTCCCTGTGGGTGAGCAAAACCGTAAATCTGGATCACGAGAGCTGGCTTTCCTCGGAAAGAAGCATTTCATCAAAATGGATTTGCACTCTCAAGTTGGTTATTATTGCTCATCTAATTGCAAGTACTGTAAACACTTCTAGCTTGAAGACAGTCAAGTAGTTGTCATTACATCCTAACTAGGTAGACTAAAAGGTGCAGGTATTCTTTGACTTACAACCATTCATTTAGTGACCATCCAAAGTTACAACGGCATTGAAAAAAGGGACCTATGACCATTTTTCACACTTACCACCATTGTAGCATCCCTGTGATCATGTGATTAAAATTTGGAGGCTTGGCAACTGACATGGATTTATGATGGTTGCAGTTTCCCATCTTTCACAACCTTCCGACAAGGAAAGTCAATGGGGAAGCCAGATTCACTTAACAACCATGTTATTAACTTAACAACTGCAATGATTCACTTATGACTGGGCTACCTATATTTATACTGATGTCTTGATAACTTCCCCACCATGTCCTCAAAGCTACTTTGAATCACAGCTCTTGTAAAACTCAACTGTTGATGGTCAAATGTTGAGTAAAGACAGCATTTACTAAGAGTCTCCACCTCTCCCTATGGCAGTGGTTCTCAACCTTTCTAATGCCGCGACCCCATAATACAGTTCCCCATGTTGTGGTGATCCCCCAACCACTTATACATCACCGGGTGCCAGGGGCGTGGCCAAAGAAAAGGGGAAAAAAATGGCAGACAGCCTTCTTTGGCGACCCCCATGAAATGGTCGTTCGACCCCAAATGGGGTCCCGACCCACAGGTTGAGAACCACTGCCCTATGGTCTGTGTCCAGAATATTTTTGCAGTGACAAATGCCTTTTGCAGGGTTGTGTGTGATTTGAGTGAGTTCACACTGGTAGAACATTTGTTTTACTTTGTCAACATTTTTGTGTTTTTTTCAAGTTCCATTAAAAACTCAGTTCACAATTTTCCCCTGCTATTTAGAGATTTTTCCTGTTTCTTTTAATATATGCAACTGTTAATTCATATCTCACTGAACAAACCACATTTTGTCATACAAATTATCTCTAATGTCATGTTACTGATTATTGTTAACTTTCCCCAATGTGCAGTTCATTTATATACATTTAGGTACTGCTCTTTTATGTGCAGGGCTTCTAGAAATATGCACTCTTTTTTTCCACAGGCATCTTTTACCTTAAAAAAAAATGCAGATCATTGTCCAGTAAAAGATGGACACTAACATATTCCACAGAATGTCACTGTTCATGCTTTAGTGGACTTTGTTTTGCCAGATTTCTCAGAGATATCCATGGCAATTTTATTTCTTCTTTTGTTATTAATTTGCAACCTGTGATTCCTTGATTTTATGATCAAATGAAAAGCATGGTAAGCAGTATCAGATATACACTGGCACAAATAAATAAATAAGACTGGATATTATCTCAGCATTCATGTTATAATCCCTGCAAGCAGGTAAATACTGTCCTGTGGTCAAAGCATCACTGTTTTCTTCTAAATGGGTTTCTTGATATACAAAGTAATACAAACTCCTACCTGCACACTTTGTCCTACTGATGAGTGGAGGTCCGGGTTTGCCAGTCCCACCATCTCCTGGCCGGGTCAGCAGGACACTGATTTCATACTCTGTGTCGGGATCGAGATGCCACAACTTATAGGTCTGCATGTTCACCGCATGTACTTCCGACCAAGGTCCTGATGTCATCCGGTACTCAATCTCTTTTCTTACAATAGGACCATCTCCAATGATTGAGTTGGTATTGAGCTGGATGATTAAGTATGTTGAACCTGCTCTCAAAAGCTGTGGGGGTGCAATGGGTGTTGGGGGCTCTGTTAAGAGGACAAAGAAGTAATAAGTTGACCTATTCTTCTGGACATCTTTAGTCAGCTGTCCTGGAGTGGATGGGCTCATTCATTCATTCATTCATTCAATTTCTATGGCTACCCATCTCAGTCAATGATTCTGACCAGCTTAGAATTTTTTTAAAAATATTACAATGAAAAATACTAAAAACACTTTAAAACAATAAAAATAGTAAAACCAATAAATTAAATCCAAATTAAATATACACAGGAGCATGAGCCTTGATTGGTTAGCAATACAGGTAATCCTCAACTTACAACAGTTCATTTAGTAACCATTTGAAGTTACAACAGCATTAAAAAAGTGGCTTATGACCATTTTTCACACTTACGGCCATTGCAGCATCCTCCATGGTCACATGATCAAAATTCAGGTGCTGGTTCATATTTATAATGGTTGCAGTCATGCAATCCCCTTTTGTGACCTTCTGACAAGCAATGGGGAGGCCAGATTCACTTAACAACCGTGTTATTAACATAACAACTGCAGTGATTCACTTAACAACCATGGAAAGAAAGGTTGTAAAATGGGGCAAAACTCATTTAACAAATGTTTCACTTAGCAACATAAATTTTGGATTCAGTTGTGGTTGTAACTTGAGGACTACCTGTATAGCCAAGGAAAAGCGGCCCTTGACACATTCAGAGCCCAAGGCTTTGGAACATAGTCAGGTTTTTAGAGTTTATAGGTTTATAGATAACAGACAGCTGCATTGGGATAGTGGAAGAACAAGAAAGAGTAGGGCTGCATTCAAGCCACTTGATGAATCACATTCCTGAATAAATCAATTTTCTGACTTCATCAACCTCTGTGTGTTGTGTTGCTCAAATGCAGTCCCTGGAACTTCACCAGCCTAGTTAAGTGTTTTGTATGTACTCATCCTCAGATTTCCCATATCTCTTCAGTCATTCATCCTTTTTTTTATTTGTAAGTTTAACGTTACCAAAAGATTATGTTTACTCTTACAGCTTCCATTTCATGATTGCTGTTTTATACTAAAAACCACCTTCAAAACACTTAATGTCTAAAGGCAGTTTGCAATTTCCGAAGGACGCAAACACTTAATTGAATCAAGCTGATATCAGCCAATTTGTATACTTCAGGTAGGCACTCTGTAGCCTTTGGGCTAATTTAATGTTGCTCTAATTTCAAAACACTTGTGCAAGATCAGTTTAGTCTTTTTATGAAAATCATCTGCCCTTTGTTGTAGGGTGCTGTTTAGGAGAGAGGAAAATGTCAGGAACAGAGAAAAACAAATCATATATTTAGAGAGAGAAAGAACCATGTATTTTCTCTCTTTTTAAAATTTAAATTGGGCACTCCCTTTTTTAAAACTTAAATTGCACCCTCCATATGGCTTCCAATGGGTTCATATAATGAGAACATGGCCTGCAACACAAATAGGATTGCCCAGTCATGCGTACATGGCAAGTCTTGCTCTATCACATCAATACAGGATGTACAGTTACATGATGGGTATCCTCAAGAACCGGGCTTTCCCATATTAGCTCATTCCAAGTCAAACAGATGCAAAACAGAGGCCTTCTCCATCTCCCCTCTCCCCAAAGAGTTCACTATCACAGGCACATGGCATGCTTCTGTGCTGCTAAAACATCTTTATAAATAAGTAACATAGAAAAACATCCGCCCAACGCGATGAACAAAAGATATGCTAGGAAAGCATTATCCTTGACTTTCTCTCTCTGTATCTCTCTCTGTCTCTCTGTCTCTCTGTATGTGTGTGTGTGTGTGTGTGTGTGTGTCTGTCTCTGTGTCTCTTTGTGTGTCTCTGTCTCTCTGTCTCTGTCTCTGTCTCTGTGTGTGTGTGTGTGTGTCTCTGTCATTTAGTGATCGTTCAAAGTTACAAAAGTGCTGGAAAAATTGACTTATGACTGTTTTTCACACTTACAACAGTTGCAGCATCCCCATGGTCACCTGATTGAAATTCAGAGTGACTCATATTTATGACAGTTGCAATGTCGCAGGGTCATGTGATCACTTTTAATGACCTTCTGACAAGCAAAGTCAATGGAGAAGCCAGATTCACTTAGCACAGTGTTTCTCAACCTTGACAATTTTAAGGCATGTGGACTTCAACTCCCAGAATTCCACAGCCAGCAATGCTGGCTGTGGAATTCTGGGAGTTGAAGTCCACATGCCTTAAAATTGTCAAGGTTGAGAAACACTGACTTAGCAACTATATTATTAAATTAAGAACTGCAGTGATTTACTTAAGAACTGTGGCAAGAAAAGTCACAAAATGGGGCAAAACTCACTTGACAAACATCTCACTTAGCAACAGAAATTTTGGGCTCAATTGTGGTCATAAGTCAAGGGCTACTTGTACTGCCCAATAGGATTCAAATCCTTCCTCAGGCTTCAAATCTTTAGGCCTGTCTTTGACAGGGCAAAATAAACCAATCCCAACCCCCCCCCCCAGCACCACCGATGCATACCTTTGACTATCAGCTCAGCAAAGTTGGAGACACCAGAGCCCCTGCTAGACTGAGTCACACAGCGGTACAAGTCCTGGTCTCCTTTTGACACTTGATCCAGTTGAAATGTAGCCAAAAATCTTCTGTGACTGATGTGCTTCACTGAGACAGTGGGAATGACAATCCCATTCTGCTTCTACCATTCAGAAAAAAAGAGTATCATCACCATCAGTGTCTCAACCCTGCTTCAAAGAGATTGGCGTTTGCAGCTTATGTTTCAGTAAGCATCACCTTTTATGGGAAGGGCTGGTGGGATGTGGTCTACCTTTTTAGAATTTGCTGTCCTTTCTATTAAAAAAAAGAAATAGAAAAGTCTACTTCTTTGAGGCAAATTAAACAAAAAACTAAACAATTGTCTTCTTCTCTTGAAAGGAATACTTGTCTAAGAGTACAAAAGAGAGGTTGAGATATGGGTGGAAGAATCTCCCAGCAACAACCAATTCTGGAAAGGGGAAAATCCAGATTTTGATAAGTTGCCGATTAGCATTCAGAATAGAACACTTATTTCAACCTACCTCCAAGTATGTCAAATGCATCATATACAGAGGTTATTATTTCAGGCAATGGAAGAACACAGAGGACAGGTTGAACTCATCTCTCATGGAAGAAAACAAGAGGAAAGAAGAACAGATAAATGATCCAATGAAAGTAAATTGGGGTAAACTTATTCCAACTTACCTGCATGAGGAACCTCTCTGTTTCTGAAGCCTTGCCAGCAGCTACACATTGAAAAGTAGCATTCTGTCCAGCATTTACCTCCACATCACCCAGGCGGGAAAAATGAGGTGCTTTGGCTGCCAAAAGAGATATAACCAGACAAAAAGATCTGTTGAAAGAAATATTTGTGGACTTCCATTTCCAGATCACGGCACTGGCGGTTGTGCGGAAAGAGTCGTCTCTTTGCCAGCCAGTTTCCCTCCGCCGGTAGAACCTTAACAGGGTCGAAAGTCACCCTGGAGGGGCAACTACTGTTGAGGAGGACTCTCGTTGACCGCAGAAGGGCAGCAGCTCCTTCTGCGGTCCGAGGCAACTCCTTAGGGCTAACAGAGAAAAGATCGGCCATTAACATGGTCGATCACTTAGCCGCACCAGCCAAAAGACAAAAGAACATCTAAGTGTAAAGAAGCACCGTGGAAGATCTGGATGAGACCCCTCCTTCCCTCTCTTTACCCTAACTATCTCCCTGTGAAAAGCTTCTGGAATTATTTGCCTGTTTTGAGAGAGCAGTGTTTGTTTATTTGGGAAAACGAGCTCTGGAAACAAAAGAACAAATAATTAATTTTTACTGGCTATTTCTATTCTTGGATACTCTGGGGTCCTGAAAAAATCCCTACTATAGAATTTTATTACTCTATCTACTTATTGAGGTGGAGAATTTTGTTTGTTTTTTTACTTTCCTAACTGGATAAAACTTTATTGGAATCTGAAAAAAAGATTTTACAGCCTATTGGGGACATCTTGTGGCAAAAGCTAACACTGCAATTGTATTTCCTCTTTGATTTTGAGGCTGGGTTTGACCTTCAAATTATTATAAAAGGGAAAAGATAAAGGATTTGAAACAGCTGGGTGGTGAAATTGCCTACTAGAATTGTGGATATTGGCTGGCTTTTAGTAAACATAGCGTTCACTAAAAGACTAAAAGATTATTTCACCACTGAAATGGAGGAACTTTACCCACAGCTTAACTATAAGCTTATATTGGAAAAAATCTTGGAAGTTACAGAGCAAATGAACTCTAGGATGAATACCAAAGATGATATTCCAGAACTACAAATTGAATCTCAAATTTTAACTGATTAACTTATAGGCCAAGGAATAACAGAGGAGGAACAGATCAACTTTAAAGAGGCCTGTATGCAACAACACACACAATTTAATGAGATGGAGGAACCTTACCCACAACTTAACTATAAACTTATACTGGAAAATTTGTTTGAAGCTACTGAGGGAGTGAATTCCAGAATAAAAGCCCTTCCCCAAAACTTCAAACTGATTTCCAGACTCCAATTGACTATTCTATAAGTCAAAAAACAACAGAAGAGGAACAAATCAACATAGAAGAGGACATTACACAATCCTATGTACAATTCATTGAGAACTTTGACGACCAAAGAATGACTTTAATTAAAACATCTGTAATGCCAAAAGCAACATGAACTGATTTGCAAATACAAGGTATTGAAAACTGTGATAACTTGGATAACCAACTAGTAACCACAATACTGAACAAAATTGATTATACTACTCAGACGATAATGGAAGAAGGTAAAGAGAAGTATGACCAGACTAAATTGTTGATAAACATTCCTAATCAAACACTGAGATTTGATGATATAGAGGCTCTTTTATGAAAACCTGCCTGGCACAAAAAGAAAGCCAGAGTTAGATTCAAAAATGAGATTTAAAACTTTACTTAATGGGTTAAAAGGGCTTTTAGAGACTTTGACTAACTGAGATGAAAATTATTGGCTAGATTATAGTTTGGAATTGTAATATGGAAAAGGTTTTAAACAAGGAATTATTAGAATAAGAAATAGAATATATATGTGAAATATAGTAAGAAGATACTTTTTGGAATAATATATTTGTTTTAGGTATGATAATTACTTTGATGGGATTTAAATTTTACTCAATGGATCAAAAAGGCTTTTTAGAGCTATGGATTGATTTATAGAATATATATCTGAAATAGAGTAAGAATGTATTTTTTGGAGTAATATTTTTATTTTAGGCGTAATAATCACTTTGCAATGGAAAGAGAACAAGAAAATGGATTGTGATAATGGAAGACATGGCATTAATAAATGAGTTATTAGAATAAGAAATAGAATATATTTGGGAAATGTAAGAATGTAACTGTTGGAATAATATGTTTATTTTAGACATAATTATCATGTTAGGAAACAAGGGAAATTAGGGATATCCGAAGTGTAAATGTATGCTTATTTAAGGCAAAATTGGAACATAATAATTGTAAGTTAGTAAAGCTTAAAAACAGCATTTGGACTTATATAGGTCAAATGTTATTGATAATTCTTTTGATTGATTGAACTTTATTTAGAAATGAATTAATTTGAATATGTTATATTAATTGAGAGAAATAGAGAATTTTTAAAGAATTAACCTGAGCCATACATGTACGATTTTGTTTTTGGATGATTGATTACCCCGTCACCTAAGCACCTTGATGTAAAAACTAAAAAACTAATAAAATTTGTTTAAAAAAAAGATCTGTGGAAAGACTTCTATAGTTACTCCCTTCCCACACAAATGATATAGCTCAAAAAATGGGTATAAAACAGGTGGAGGGTGGGAGGATTAATTTAACCCTAAAAAATGTTTAAGTAGGGAGTAATTGCCAGAATATCTTTAGGGCACTGGCTGATTCACTCACTTGGTCTTCATCTTTATTACATCTGTATTTATTTCCTTCATAAAGGAGCTTAATAAGGATGAGAACCATAGTACCTGTCTGCAACTTGTTAAAGCAACTGCATCTTTTCTTGTAATTGCAAACCCAAAAATGATGGGGGGGGGAGATTGCTGCTGTGAAGAAATGCAGGCAGTTTCTACTTTCATATTCTTTGGGCAGAGAGAAATCCTCTTTGGAATAAACTCAAATAATAGTAGAGCCCTAGTATTTATTACATCTAGTATTATTGCAAAGTTCACCATGAAATCATCTTCTTTATTGATTTTCTAACATTACATACACATATTTGAAAAGCAAATAACAGCTGAGTACAATAATTCTATTACATATAGACTTCCGGTTCCGGTTCACGGCAACTCCAGTCGCATTTGGAGACTTGTCTCCACACTGGCTGGGTTTTTCTTCGCCGGTAGACCCCTTGTGGGTCAAAAGTTGCCCTGGAGGGGTGACCACCGAGAGGAGGCTTGCTGGAGACTGTGGGAGGGTGGCAGCTTGTCTCGTGGCTCCAGCTATTTCCTGAGGGCCGACGGAGCAAAAGATCGTCCTGTAAGATGGCCGATTACCCTGCTGCACCAGCCAAAAGTCACAGCAACATCTAAGCGTGAATAGACCCACCGTGGATGATCCAGATGAGACCCCTTCTCCTCCTCTCTTCACCCTACTTTGTTCTCTTTTTTTGCCTGTAAAAGCTCTGTTGGAATCATTTCCCTGTCTTGAAAAAGCAGCTTTGATATGTATGAGAAGAAAGGCGCTGACCCAAAAAGTTAAAATATAAAAATTTAAAGACTACACTTTATTCTTATCTACTTTGGGGTACAGAAAAAACCTTTTTTTAAAGAGCTCTACTATTATACTATACTGATTGTTTCTTTTTCCACCTTTTTCTCTAAAAGATAGAAAAAGGAGGAAAAATTTGTCTGGAAAAGATTTTTTAACCTATTGAGGACATCTACTGGCGAAAAGTTAATATTGCAACTGCGGGTTACTGTTTGGAGATGAGATGGACTTGGTCTTCAAATTACTTTTGAAGAGAAAAGATAAGCGGATGCAGCTGTGAGAACTGTGGGGGTGGATACTGCTTTACTTTTATTGAATACAGCCTTCACTAAAAGAAAAAAAGGGATTCTCTTCAATTATTATTAAAATGGAGAAACCTTATTCACAACTGAACTACAAACTTATATTGGAAAAGATTTACGAGGCTACTGAAGAAATATGTGCTACAATGAAAGAGATTTCTACAGAATTAAGAGTCAGAATCCATATTCCAAACCTTCAAACTGACTTTCAGACAACATCTGATCATTCTATAAACCAAAACATACTAGAAGAAGATTTAATTGAGACTAAAGAGGAATTTATTTTACCCTACAAGCATTTCATCTACACCTTTGAGGATCAGAAAAATCAAAGACTGAGATTTGAGCCTTTAAAGCAATGAAGCTTTAAGGATAAGAGAAACAGATGCAGAGGACGGGATGCTTCTTACTGTCTCAAATGATACTACAAGCAATAAAGAGAAACTGTCAGAATCCAATTATATTTCATCTTTAATTATCAAATATAGAAACTCCCAATTCTGCCTTCTCTGGATTCTGCCATAAGAGGGAGAGAAGGGGGAGAACAAAGGGGCTTTATGGCCCTCACTTCCTTCAGTAGACTTCTAAGGAGCTGAATGTGTTTATTGCAACATCAAAGAGAGACTTTGAATGTAAATAGCATCAAAGAACCTTACCATGACAAAAGAGAGCTATTTACCTTTCATGTAGTTATCTGAAGTCTCCATACAGACGAAAGAAAGGAGCAAGGGGGTGGAATTGTGATGCCTGAAACTATCACTGGAAGGGGGGGTGATTGGGTGGGACTGCTGGGGAACCCCTTAAAACCTTGAATGGGAGAGCTTGGACCCCAAGTCCTGTCTAGCATGCCTGCAACCACTTCTTCTTAATAAAGGATTCCTGTTGGAAGAATTATTCCAAGAGTTCTGTCTTCTTAAGATGCAAAGTGGAGTGGGCCCTTACAGAAACTTATTGGCTGAAAGGGAAGCTTTCCTGGCAGATGCACTGTCTCGCATGCCCCGATTCTAAACCACTCATGTCTGAACCACAACTGGCAGTGCCAGTAACCACCAGAATCCAAGCTAAATTAAAGCCGCAGCTGGGTAGCCAAACCAGAATCAAATTCCGGAAAACTTTGGAAACAGGTGAATTATTCCAGAAAAATAGACACGTGTGCACAATCAAGGATGGACTGCCATGGCTGGGGGAAAAGTTATATATACCAACCACCCAGAAGGTCATTTCATGCAGCTATGCCATAATACAAAATCAGCAGGGCATTTTGGATTTGTAAAAACATTAC